GGGGCTTGGGAGGAGCCCCTGGCTGTATTTTTTTTTTTTTAACCAGTTCCATCTATGTGAAGATAAGTCAAAGGTCCTGCTCAACCGTGTCTGGCTTCGCGTGGAAGCTTGAATGAGATATTTCCTCTGAATTGACCCTCCTCTTTGTAGACTAGACACTGGTTCAAGTCCATCTCATGGGGTTTCCATGTCTTCCTTGAACAAGAGGACAGGAAACTCACCACAGTTACAGGACATTTTGAGAGATGTTCCATAGTTCCCTGGAACTTAGTCAACCTTGGAGGGCAAGGAGCAAAAACTGTCCTTTAAGTCCCTCTGACCACATTAGTATAGGCCTCAAACTATGGCTGTTAAACATCCAATAAGGTTAGTTCCACCAGTCTGGTACTTTTATTTTGAAATTGTGTGTCATCCTCTTCAAATGTGGGTCTCTTCCTTCTTCTCTTTGGTTACAACATTGATTTTTCAGTTCTTGGAACTCTTCTTGAATCGTTTGATTCTTTTTTCTTATGTTTCCTGTATTTTGCCCATTGTTTCTTTCCCTTTATGCTTTCTGGAATGGTTATTATTGGAGGGGGGATATCCCTCACTCCCCAAAGCAATCTACAGACACAATGCAACTCTTATCAGAATTCTAACAACGGTTTTCCCCTGGGACAGGACTTCCTGTGTATCTTAGGCTGGTCTCACATTCACTGTCGCCTCTCCTTCCCAAGCGCCCAATGACATATTTTTTAGACAGAAATAGAAAATTTTCCAATTCATATGGAACCACACATATCCACAAACGGCCAAATAAATCGCCTTTTTTCTCCTGAGAGAAAAGGACAAAGCTGTAGACATTTGAAATTGAACATTGCAATTTCAAACACTATTACAAGTTCACAGTAATTAAATGCCACAATACCCACACGGAGGTCCAGACCAATGGGACTGACCGGAGAGTTCAGAAATAGATCAAGACACACACACTGTCTACTGGCCTTTGATGAGAATGCCAGGAACACGCAGTGAGGAAAGATGCTGTTCAGCAGATGCAGTAGGAAACTCCTGGCAGAATGAAATTGGACCATTATCTTACAGCATGTTTAAATATCAACTCAAATGGACTAAAAACTTAAACATAATACATTGGGAGTTTTCTGCTAAAGGGGCCTTCTTGTTAAATTTAAAATCACACAAGTTAAATACATCTGTTTTTAATTGCAGAAATAGAAGAATATGCCATGGAAGTGTTATGTAAGGTAAGAAGGCTCTTCAACACCATCCATAGTGTCATTTCCACCCAGTTTCTCTCTGACATAAACAAGGCACGTGGGTACCCATTTAAACCTCAGGGAAGCCCAATGCACAGCCTTTGGGTGTCGATTTTCACTGGACAGTAATGTGATAGCAAATTTACATGAAGCATAGAGTATGTTTTCCCAGAGGGAGCTAGGTAGGCCAAGGTCACTGCCCGAGACTGAGAAGTAGTAGAGTCATTTGAAACCTTTCATGCCATAGCCTCCCCACTCAGAGAGTCTGAACACACCCTTTCCCCATGCATCAGCTCTGTGTGCAGGTTTTGACTTTTCAGCCGTAGAGCTCAGATGAAAGTCTAACTACCGGGCAGAGTTGTTTTCCTGCCTCAGCTTCCCATTTATGGCTCTCCTAGCCCTGATCAGGTCTGCTCATCAAATCCCCACTGACTCATTCTGAGCTCCTCCGCCATCCTACCACTGCCCCCTCACCTACCCGCCCCCATTCCTATAGGAATCTATTCTGGAGAAGGATGTATTGAGTTGTTTCACAGAATTGATTTCCTGCAATAGATCCCATGGCCAAACCAGAGAAAGAGAAATGTTCCTATCCCCCTGCTCCACTTTAGATATCATAAGTACATCCACTACTAGGAATTGACCCAAGAGAACTGATGATAAATGTACACAAGATAACCCAGATGCTGATGTCCAGGGCAGCCCCAATCCATAGTAGCTACAAGCAGAAACAACCCCAGTGCCATCAGCTGATGAATGGATGAGGGCAATGCATCTGTCCATACTGGAATAGTACTCAGCCACAAAGAAGCATGTTTCCACAGGTATGGGCCTTGAAGCCATGATGCTAAGTAGAAGTCAGTTACAAAAGCCAGATGCCCTGTAACTCCATTTATATGGACTGTTCAGAACAGTCAGCCCATTGGCAAATTAGATGGTGGTTGCCAAGACACCGGGGAAGTGGAAATGGGAAGTGATTCCTGATGGGTACAGGGCTTCTTTTGGAGGCAAAAAGAGCTTTATGGTACTGGTTAGAAGTGACAGTTTCAGAACTATATGATTATATTAAATATCACTCAGTTGTATACTTTATAGGGAGCTAATTTTATGATATATGACTAATATTTATAATGTTATTTAAAATCACAGTATTTTTATTTTATGTGTATGAGTGTATTGCCTGCATATGTGTAAGTACACCTATGGAGGTCAGAAGAGGGCATTGAATCCCCTGGGAACTCTAGTTACATATGTTTGTTAGCTGCCACGTGGTGCTGGAAGTCAAACCCGGGTCTTCTGCAAGAGCAGCCAGTGCTTAACCGTTGGACCATCTTTCCAGCCCCTACTTCTATATTTTTTAAGAATCTGTGATGACTAATTGTAATCACTTGGGTATATACTAGATATCTTGATCTCACTCCCTACATAGCTGTCATTATATGTACCTTGACCAATCTCATGCCCACCCTCCTGACCTCCATTCATCTTAGCCTCTGGTAACCAGCCTTTCACACTCTACTTCATGGAGCAGCTGTTCTGGACTGCACATAGGAACAAGCTCATACAGTGTTTGCTTCTATGTCAGCTTCCTTCCTCCCCTTCTTTCTTTTTTTATAATTATTTATTATTTTTATTTTATGTGTATGAATGTATTGCCTGCATGTATGTGAGCACACCCATGTCGTGCAATGCTGTGGAGCTCAGAAGAGGGCTTCGGATTCCCCTAGAACTGGAGTTAAGGACAGTTCGTAGCCACCATGTGGGTGGTGGGAATCGAACCTGGGTCCTCTGCAAGAGCAGTCAGTGCTCTTGACCGCTGAGCCGTCTCTCCAGCCCCAGCTTCTTTCATTTAGCATAACATCGTCTGTGTTCATCTGCATTGCTTTTGTGGCTGACTAATATTCTTTGGTGTCTATGAACCATATTTTCTTCCACTTATCCACTGATGACACTTAGGTTGGCCCCATCTCTTGGCTGCTGTGAATAGTGCTATAATAAACACGACTGTGCAGAAGTCTTACTTGTTTTAGGATGGTTCCCTGTGTGGTACCCATAAACCCATTCTCTGTACATTTGGAGTCTTAGGATTCCAGATTGAAAATGATGGATGCAATTTAGCAGTAACATCTTTTAAAGCTCAATGATGTTTGGAAATGTCTGTACCCAGCTGGCCTGTGCCCTGTGTGTGGCATTGGGTGAGGGGTTTAACGTTTGAGGGGTTCTCCTGGGTATAAGGAGCAGTGAATGGCCAGGGCTGCATGTTTCCCAAGGTTCCTCCAGAGCTGAGTATGGTTCTCAGCTGGTGGGGTCTGGAGAGGACATCGAACTCATTCTAACCTCTGTGGTGAACTAGAAAGTGGAAAGGTGCCTGTGTGCAGTTCAGTAGGGTGTGTCATCCATGCTGTGGAGCTCTCTCAGGGTCCAGGAGTCCCTAAAAGTGTATGAAGGTGCTCATGTGCAGCCCATGGTTTCGATCAGAGACTGCAGGAGGTCTCAGGGGACAGGACCATTATGGTTCAGGAAGGGGATGAGGGCTCTCATGACGTGTTATGCCTCCCATCCTTCCACCTTTAGTATACACACATATACTTTATATATCTAGACGTATATAGACTTACATATGCATGTTTACACGCATGTATATATACAGCTATATTAGTACATATGCATATTTCTTTATGGACCTCAAAGGAAACAGTATATTTATTAACACTGATATTAGTAAATCAGTATTATTTGTATTTCATTGAAACCTGACTTTGAAAAACATTATGTTTGAATAAGCATATCAAACCTTGACCAACTGTTTGGTGTTTGGAAAAGTATTTTTATAAACATCTCTTAAGCATCTACATTGTGCTAGATATTTTTTCTAGTTGCTTTTATTGCATGACATACTGCAGCTGTTTTGTTTAGAAACATAGAACATTCAGTCCAACAGAAAGTTTTGAAGTTGTGAGATGCTTTAGTTGAAAATAGTTTCCGAACACTCTCAAACCTCAGAAAATCACTTGTTTTACCCTGAGCGCTTTCCTAGGGCCAGCACCTGCATCAGGCCATCGGCAGCGGCAGGTCAAGGTTACTTGTAGTTGCACAATCACCTGGATGACGCTGTAATCTGAAGTAGTCCCTCTCCTGCATCAGTTCGATATTATTCCCAGGATTAATGCCAGGATGCTCTTTACGTTGGCTGTGGAACCGAGGAGGGAGGGGTTTACCTCTTGGTTTAGTTGGCCTCCTGCTGTCTGCCTCACTTTCCCAGGCATAGGAGAAGGCAAACAGAGTTAAAATTCAGATGGAACCAAGGTGCAATAAAACATGAAGCAGGTTCAGGAAAGTCCAGGCCCTGCATCTTTGTGGACAGGCGTGTGTTTATGCAAATGCTTGAGTATCTAGTGCGACATCCTTCCTTCCCAGGAATTCCTGAATTAAACATTAAAAGGTGGATTTTAATGAGTTCCTGTGTAGACTGAATTCTCTAGAGGTTTTTTTAAGCAGTAGAGAAAACCAAAGATATTTCTTCATCTGAAGGCTAAGGAAGGGTGGAAGAAAACGCAAAACAGCCACACTTTTAGATTACACAAAGTGTACTCCAGAAGAAGCATACTCTTCAAAAGAAAAATAAATGTTTTGATCTTTACAAAACATTACTACCAATTTAGAAGAATTATTTTTGTTTTATCTAATTTGTGATTAATTAGCCTAACACGCCTAATATTTTATCAGTATGTGGAACTCATCCCAGTTTCCTTTTTATAATTTTATCTAAAACCCTGAGAGTCAGCTTCCTATCTCTCAACATGTAGTAAATGGCTTAAGAAACATTTTATGACCTCTAATTTTTTGGTCAAACAATTGGATCACAGAATGCCCATACCTTAAACTTCTACCACTAAGGTAGAGTGAATATACTCGTAATACTAAACCCTTAGACATTTACCAAAATGTTCAGAAATAGATGCCCAAAACTTTAATTCTCAACTTTTTTTCCATTTCTACCATTTACTAGTCGTTTTATAAACTACTTTAGCACTTATTGATTGAAAGTATAGACCTAATTTAGAAAATAAATGTTTAAGTTTTTGTTGTTACAACTCTTTCTTTCAAAAATTATATCTGAGATTCTTATCCTAAGCCTTAACTTCTCCAAAGTTTGCATTTTGACACTTAATACATTCACTATGTGCTTGTGAATCTAATCCAGTATACAATGCTGGTTTCTCATTTCACAAAATATAAATAGCTAGTCAATCCTTCATGGATAATCTTATAACTGTCTCCTATTAATATTTCTTAAATGATTCACCCCTTTGGTGAGTACAGGTTAATTCCATTGCAGTATTCCTACTCTATTGTTTCTGTTATCTTTATATTCTTTGCGAAAGTGAAAGCAATTAGAAATAACATTCTGCTGTATGTTTCTGACACACATGTGACTGTTACTATAAGAAATACTCATGAAGGCTTGATTTAGATAGCACTGCAAGCCCTTCTCCAAAGTGTGTTTGTGCTTCCCTCCCCACTTTTTTTATTTTTCTCTTATTTTATTTTATTATTTTATTTTATGTATTATTTTATTATTTTAAAATTTATTATTTTATTTTATTTATTTTATTATTTTATTATTTTTAATTTAATTTTATTTTTTTATTTTAATTTTGTTTTATTTTAGACAAGGTCTCACTATGTATCCCTGGCTTGGAACTCACTGTGTTCACCAGGCTGGCCTTGAGCTAACAAGAGATCTGCCTGTCTCCCAAGTGCTGGGATCAAAGGTGTGTGCTATCACATCCCAGCTTTTCCTCTCCCTTAAATTTTTTTTTTTGTTTTTATTTTTAATGTGTATGAATGTTTTGCCCACATGTATGTAGGTGCATCATGTGCATGCAGTGCTCACAGATGCCAGAAGAGGGCATCAGATTCACTGGAACTGGAGTTAGGGTTATTACCTGTCATGTGGGTGCTGAGAATTGAATCCTGGTCCTCTGCAAGAGTAGCCAGTGCTTTTAACCACTGAGCCATCCCTCCAGTACCTCCTCTCAGTTTTAAAGGTTTTCTGAGGTTAGGGGCTTTGACCCATGCACGGCTGAACCCCAGTCTTAGACAATGCCTGGCTTGGGGCAGGATTTGAGTTTCCGCCCACCTACTTTGTGTCTATGTGTTCTTTTTTAGGAGATGATAACTTTCCTGAATAAGATGGTAAGTCATTACTTGGAACTGATTTCTTTGGATAATTCTGTGTGGGTCTGCGTAATGTAAGGAGAGGTGGATGCCTTCGATGGTCAGCTGTTGGTGACCACGAATGGAGACAGCCAGGACAGGGGAGGCATAGGCTTCAGGAAGTCGGGGAGGAGAGACTCCCAAAGGTAAAGATGGCCAAGGAGGAATGTTGGAAGACAAGGATGGAGTAGGTGTGCTGTGCTGTTCATTCCAGAAAAGGAGTAAATTTTTTTTGTGGGCTCCCACCCAGAGGAACCTTGAGTATCAGGGTAAGATGACAGACAAGATCCCATAGGCCACTACTTCACAACTCATTAGAACTTGCATCTCTTCTGATGCATCCCAAAATGTCATGTGATAATTATGACATTGTTGGCAATGTCAAATTTGGTTATAGGAATGAAAACAAATCACCGTGGTAGACTGGAGAGTACACACACTGTCCCCAAGATGGCTCTGCAGTGCCCTCTGCCTCTCCACATTAGGCTGGGATGGAATGAGAGCACTGTAGGGCAGCCGGGGAGAAGGCGTAACGCAGGCCAGTGGCAGTAGAGGAAGAGAGAGGAGAGCCGCGGAGCAGTGGGCTTAGCTTATTCAGGTGGCCAGGTTCCTGTTCCGCAGCAGACACTGTGCCAGGCACAGGAGAGGGAAGTTCTACTGTTTCAAAGAGACAGGAGGGGTGAAGCAAAATTTGATTTGAGGGAAAGTAGAGTGAGACGGAAGGAACTCGTGGACATGGTGACCTCTATCTTCTGAGAAGATTCAAAATGCTAGTCATTTGTGGAGTCTGAGGAAGGGGTGAGGATGTGTGAGAGTGAGGGTTAAGGAGGGTAGCTGCTTAGAGCCGCTGAGGGTTCCTGGAGGAGTCCCTGGGGTTGTCAAGAGAGATGCCTTTGGCTCTTCAGACCCCAGTCCAGATACCGACCCTCAGACCCACCCTAGGTTTCTTCTTCTCTAGGGTATCCCTCAAGCGGTGTTCATCGGCCATGACTGGGCTGGTGTGCTGGTGTGGAACATGGCTCTCTTCTACCCTGAGAGAGTGAGGTGAGTGACTTAGCAGCCAGGGCCTGCTAAGAATAGACTTAGAGTCCCCCAAAAACTGTTCCAGGATCCTTCTAGGAAACCAAGCAGGTAATAGGGAAGGTAACCACTGGGCTTCCTTTGGCACACACCAAGGAGGGCCTACCTGGCTCCTAGGAAGCAGTCCCTGTTCCAATCCAGTTACTGGCAGTAAGATGAGTAATCGAGAGCTTGAGTGTCCTGTGGGCTGCAGGGCTGCAGGGCTGAGTGGACTGGGTGAAGAGGTGAGGGGTTCTGGGAGTCACAGAATTAAGCACCAGGAACGAGTTCACCCTGGACCAAGAGTCAGAAGATGTGGCCCTTGAGTGGGTGTGATAATGCAAGCCCGTAATTCGTTCCAGCGTTTGAGAGGGAAGCAGGAGAACTGCGAGTTCAAGGGAAGCCTGGGCTACAATATCAAGAGACAGAGACAGAGACAGAGGCAGAGACAGAGGCAGAGGTGTGTGTGTGTGTGTGTGTGTGTGAGAGAGAGAGAGAGAGAGAGAGAGAGAGAGAGAGAGAGAAAGAACCCTCAATTCTGCCCTGAAGTGGCCATGTAACAAATCACGTCACCCCTTGGGCCTTGGTTTTCTTAACCACAAGGCCACAATAGGAAGTACTCCCCAGAGTCACAACCTGAAACTGCTGCACAGATGTGTAATCACCATGGAGGGTCATGGTCACCACCACAGAGTCCATAGTCATCATGTCAGAGACATCTCAGGGCTCCATTGTTGGTTTCCAGATGCCAGAATCCCTGTGTTCTGGACCTAGAGGGAATGGCAGACATGTGTCTGCTCTTCAGACAAGCTGGAATGCGATAGTTAAAGCCTGCCTGATCTCTGCCTCATCAGGGTGGGTAAATACAGGCAGCAGCCGTCTTCATGCCCCCACTAGTCCAATCATGTTTTTATGTGGTGGAATTACATCAAAGACTTTGATGAGATATGAGACAGGGTCTCCCTGTAGCCCCAGCTGTCCTGGAACTCACTATGTAGACCAGGTTGGCCTTGAACTCACAGAGATCCGCCTGCTTCTGCCTCCTGAGTGATGGGATTAAAGGCGTGCGCCACCATACCTGGTCTTTAATATATTTTAAACTTTATTATTATTATTGTGTGTGTGTGTGTGTAAATCATCCTAGTTAAGAAATACTGCAGCTGAGTGGGAACACACTGAGTTAATCACAACACCTGTGTCTGATTGCATTCTCGAACCTACTGGGAGGTTGTGCATGCAATTTTCCCACTCTGAGCTTCAATTTTGACCTCAACGTTCCTTTCTGGGTCACGCATGTCTTCTCACAGGTTCTCTGTCTTGATATCTTTTATTTCTTCAGGGCAGTGGCCAGCGTGAATACTCCCTTCATGCCACCAAATCCCAAGGTGCATCCCATGGAGGTTATCAAATCCATCCCAACTTTTAATTACCAACTGTACTTCCAAGAACCAGTAAGTGCAACATCAAAAGCAACGGTGCCAAGATTGGTGCCCCTTTCTTCCCCTTCCTCTCTTCTTCCTCACACACACATGCGCGCACACACACACACACACACACACACACACACACACCACGCTGTGTCTCATTCCTATTTTTCTTCCTATTGTTGAAGGCACGTATTAATAGTAGGTACCTGAGAAGGTGTACGGGAAGGAAATGAGGACTAGGAGATGTGGACTGTGGAGGTCTTTCTCTGACAGCAGGTCCCTGCATTGGTGCTTGTAGATCTGCTGGAGTGGCCGTAGGAGTTCGCTGGGTGTAGGTCAAGTTTCATGCTGGTTTTGCTCCTGAGTAGTGGGAACATTGTTTCTGTGTGGTTTCTTCAGCTGAAGTCAGTGCCAGCCAGGGCTTCTGTGGTCCAGGCTGGACCTTCTTCATCAAGTGCAGCCTTCACAGTGGGGCCAGGGTTCATGGGCATATGGAGGGGGGGAGGTGGCTAGAGTCTGCTAGATGCTAGATGGTAGGAAAGGCTCCTAGGTTGCAGGCCCACTGGGGGATATTGGTAAAATGCAGTCTGGTTTGATGGAGTTGAAGGGGACCTGGTGTTCTGCATTCTAGCCATGCTCCCAGTGATGCTCCCAACACCAAGCCTGGAGCAGCAAAGCCTGCAATCCAGCCACCCTGAGTCTTCATTGAATTATTGAGGATTTATCAAAAGTTAAGGACTCTTGCTCTAGAAAAGTTCATGCATATACCCAATTCTGTGGGCAATATCAACATGGCCTAGAACTATTAAGAACCACATTAAGGATCTCTATGTGTTAAGAGCCCCTCGTCTCTTTTCTCATTGATCTGGGCTTGCTTGATTAGCCTAGGCTGGCCAGTGCCTGAGGGATCCACCTGTCTCTACCTTCCAAGTGGTAGGCTTATAAACATGTGCCACCACACGTAGCTTTTTTACATGGTTTCTAGAGATCAAATACAGGACACTTTTTTTTTTTTTTTTTTAACACAACAAGCATTTAACCAACCAAGCTATCCCTCCAGCACTCCCCTGTGCGGGACATTTTACATTCAAAACATACCATTTAACATGGTCTTCATCTCCTGGTCAAGCAAGTCTGCATATCCCCAGCTTCTTCCCATGATGTCTCCAACCAAGTCCCACTCACCTTTTCTGGGCCAGCGCTAGTGTTCTCTCCTTTAGTTAAGAACAAGCCATTTGGGGCTGGAGAGGTGGCTCAGTGGTTAAGAGCACTGGCTGCTCTTGCAGAGGACCCAGCATCAAAATGGCAGCTAACAACCATCCATAATTCTAATTCCAGGGGATCCGATGCTCTCTTCTGACATCCACAGGCATTGCATGACATGGGTGCACTTATATACATGCAGGCAATACATTCATACATGTAAAATAATAAAACATAATTAAAATATTTTTAAAACATGCTGTTATCTTTTGAGTAAGCAGGCTAAGTCACCACTTGCTTTATGGGTCCTTTTGGTGCTTTGCCACCTGCCTGACTCCCCAAAAATTCTTTGACACATCATAAAGGTACACAGTCTTCGATAGATGAATACGAACATTTGACAAGAAATACCCAGCATATATTTCTAACATGAATATATTTGTAATGGTCAACCCCTTATACACATTACAGGACATCTCTATCTCATCATAGATAAGAATTCTTTGTATTTTAAATTCAAAAGAAGAATGCAGAGGAAAGGGGAGTGGAAGAAAAATTAGCAGGCATGAACCCCCAGGCTCCCCTCTACCTACTTATTCCTCATCCTGTAGCTCAGCGTCCAGACCCCTAAGTGTCTGAGAGCCAGCTGGAACCTGTAATAGATGAGCAATTATCTGTAATAATACTTATGAGGCAGAAGAACCTGGTAATTTAACACTACCCAGGACATGCGTCCTGACTCTTTAACAATGGAAATGTGCTGCCCTGTCCTTAGGAAGACAATCCCTCTGGCATTCTTAAAGGTCTGCAGTAATTTAGGACCAGAGGAAGGAAGTTGGTTAAAGTTATACAGCAGTATTGAGAAGCACGTGGGCCACTTGCCACTCTCAGCACTTCTCAGAGCTAGCTTCTCTTCTTACCACCTGTCAGCCGCCATCTTAAACCTACGTCAGCCTCTTTCTCCCATCGAGATTATTGCAAGTCGCATCTCACAGTAGGAATTTGGGGAAACAGACACAGCAGCACCTGCAAGCCTGCCTCCTGGGCAGGACCACTGTTAGCATCTTCTATTTAATCTTTTACTAGTGTATATTTCACAACAAAAATTCAAAGGAGTGCAATTCTAGAGAAGGGTGGACTGGATGGGACAGAGGCTGGGGGCTTCTGGGTTTTGGTTAGCTGGGAGAGGGGTCCGGTGTCCAGGGTTTCGGGAGGGGTGGCCTTTCATTTTGCTTTCTTAACTGTTTTAGGGAGTGGCTGAAGCTGAACTGGAAAAGAACCTGAGTCGGACTTTTAAAAGCTTGTTCCGAGCAAGTGATGAGGTGAAGAGTGAGACACAGAGTGTGGGGGTGTGGGGTGGGGGAGGGGGCTGCCCCAAAGGAAGGGGAACCCCAGGGTGGAGCACCATCTGGAAATGATCGATTTGATTGAGGCTTCCACTCCACTGGTCCCTCATTGCTGGAGAAAAGTCACACAAAAATGAACAATGATTCTAACAAGGAAGGGTCTGGAAATTACACCGTCTTACCATTTTAATATGCATAGCTGACTTACCCACAAGGAGAAACTTGCTTGCTATTTCCAACCTTCCTCAGTGTTTGAAAGGATTTAGAATGCTGGTTCAGACTGGTTCTGAGTGTCAGCTCTCGTCCTCGCTGCTGTTTCCTACATGCTCAGGCCCTGCGTGCGCTTTTCTGCTCTCCTCAGCTTCTTGGATGATCACTCCTTGTGTGTCTCTCTTCGTTCATGGTGTGTTGTTTCTTGTCTTTGGAGTACTTCCTTTAGTGGTTTTCTCAATCCAAATCTGTGAATGGAAGCTCAGAGTATTTGAAAACACCTTTCAGTTTTGCCTTTAAATTTGAAGAATGGTTTATCTGAGCATAAACTCTCTTCCGTCCTTGTTTTGGAAAAGCCCACCTCAGGTCCACATCTCTCCATATTAAATACCTTTAAGGTAATTGTCTTAGCCACTGGATGACCTAATCTGCTATCTTTGAAGAGCTCCTTATAATTTCAGTGGACAGCCTTTTTATTAATGTTGAATTTGTGTTTCTTCAAATAACTGATTTCTTCTGATACTCTTGTTCTGTTCTTACCTTACCACACATAGAGGTCAGAGGACAACGTGCAGGAGTTGATTCTCTCCTTCCAGCATGTAGGTCCCGGGGATTAAATTTGGGTCATCTGGCTTGGCAGCAATCACTTTTCCTTGCTGAGCCATGTCACCTACCCTCTTAAATCATTTTTGAAAGACTGCTCTCTTCCTCTCAGTCGCTCTCTTGCATTCTCTCCTCTGCTCTCACTCTGCCTGCATGTGTGTTTTATAACTTTGGTTGATACTCATCTTGAGTGACATTTGCTCTGTGTCTGTCTGCTTCCCTTTAGACTTAACAACTCTCGAATGGTCTAACATTTCTTCTGAAGTGCGTTGTGATGGCAGTACCAGCCCAGGCTCACTTTGTGCTTTTCTTCACATCATGAGCTTTTCCAGGTCATGCAAACAGTGTAAATTCAAACGCAAGAACCTGTGAAGGCCAGCCTTTAATGGTGGAGTTTTAGGGGAGCTCTTTTTGGTTTGCTCTCAGTACCAATCTGAAGTGACTCAGCTTTGTATCTGTCATGGGCGGATTTTTTCAGTCTACCTTTCAATTGATGCATCAGCACATTCAGGATGCTTGTGTTACCAGATTTACTCTGTGGCAAAGCTGGAGGGGGCAGCTTAATTTTAATTTTCTACCTTCTGCAAATCTGAGGTCTCATCTCTTGCTCCCACTGGTTGTTAAACCCAGGACATCACCCAGATCTTCAAGAGCTCAGAGCAGCTGCGGGTGGGAACGTCAACCCCCTCTTCCCTCTGAGACCTGAGAGTGCCCCACTCACTTCCAGGTTTAGCCTGTTTGTCATGGCATGGTCCCCAACTCCTCTACCCTTTCTTTCTATAATTTCAGTTCTTGGTCAATGATGGTCCAATGATAATAATGAGAAGCCACGGACAAAACATATGTTTTAATCGTGCACCATTCTGAATAGTGTAATGAAATCTCACACGCCATACCTGGGATGCGAATGGTCTTTTTGTCTCGTCGACTTAAGATGGAGGGGGGAAGGGAGGGAGGGAGGAAGGGATGGAGGAAGGAAGGAAGGAGGGAGGAAGGGAGGAAAGAATGGAGGAAGGAAGGGAAGAAGGGAGGAAGGGAGGAAGGAAGGGAAGGGAGGGAGGGATGAGAGGGGAGGGGAGGCTTTTATTACAGTGTTGTAATTTATCTGTTTGATCATTGGCTATCACTATTGGCTGTCTAACTGTGCCTGATTTATGAGTTAAATTTTATCATAGGAACAGGAGAAACACAGACACAACAGTGTCTAGTGCTCCCCTTGGTTTCTGGCTTCCCGTCACCGCAGGCTTTAGGTGTATCCCCACACGTAAGGGCTCTGCTGCAGCCTGTATGCATTTGAGGTCTGCCGTAGCAGGGATTTCAGGAGTCTTCTTGCTCTGCCTCACTCACAGCATCCTCTCTCTTTTCTTCCCACAGGGTTTAGTTGCCGTCCATAAAGTCACTGAGATGGGTAAGAAGTATCCCTAGGAGAGGGGGACACTGCAGGGCCACATCAGCTGAACATTCTGGATGCTTTTCCTTTCTGCCTTGACAGAAGCCCTGAGCCTGCCTTGCATTCCTGAGCTTTGACTTGCCCAAGGGTCACCACTGGCTAATAGTGCTCCCTCCAACCCCGGGCCAGCCTGTGCTACCTCAGGCCTATCTGCTAGGGTGCTGTACATCAAAATTCTAAACAGCTCCAAGGACTTGGAGAGTGTATCTAGGGCAATCCACCCTTTTCTGATAAGGACCTCAGCCCAGGCTGCAGAGGTGACTGCCACAGTCACTGGGACACATGAAGCAGATTGCACCAGACCCCACCTGAGTCTCTGCTTGCCCTTCTAGCCATAGGCTCTGTGTTCCAGTCACTCCTGTTCCCTCCCTTGACAACCCTTTAGTCTCCCTACTGGGTGGGATTCAAATGATGTTAGATCATGGCTCATTCCCAGGGTGCCAACACCTGGCACTGGCCCCACAAACCCTTGCTTTGCCCTGACACTGTATCCTTGCCATTATTCACTTATATCTTATCATGAGGATGACCACCAACACTTGTTTGAGCACTTCTGCGTGCGTTAGACATGTGGCTTGGCCCCCTTTAGATAGAGTACATATAATCCCCTCAAATTCCTGCTGTTAACATGGTCTCTCAGTTACACAGGAGAAAGTGGGTATCTCAGGCTTGGCTTGTGGGAAGAAGCCAAGCTGGGGGAAACTTCCCCAAGAATACCCCCTCCATTTCTCCTTTCCTTTTCACAGACACTTGTTAAATTCATTCATGTTCTGAGCATCCGACTGGCCACAGGTTCACAAGCATACCAAGCACAGCTGCTCCCTACTAGGAGCCCAGGGAGCTCAGGGCAGTCCAGGGAGGGTGACCACTAAATAGTGAAATAGTGAGCCAAGCAGATAGGGGGCTCAAGAGGGACACTGGGGGAGGCTCCTCCACCATAAGATTTGTGAGTCTGAAAATGACGTGTCCACCCCCTCCAATGTTAATGCCCCTGTGGGGCCTTTAGGGGAACTGCCTGGACACTGCATACCTCTAAACACAAGATGGAATTCTACACAGAGACCACCACAACTTGGTCCGAGAGGATGCATGAGGACATAGGATCCTCTGGTTAGTGCTCTTCTGAACTAAGAAAACACAGACACCTGCTTGAAGTCCAAGATATCAGAAGAGATACGAAGGAGCATAATTAGTCTGGCTGTTTAGAAGAGGTCTAGTCTAAGAGAGCACAAGGGTGAGCACTCCAAGGCCTGGAAGGCAGTGACTGTCTGAGGCAGCGTCACCCTGGGCCTGAGCCATGGGCACGTATTAAGAGCGGGGCATGCCATGGCTTGTCCCAGAGGACTGGCACCTGCCCATGAGTCTGTGTAGGACACTGCCCAGCCCTAGAATGACAGCAAAAATACAGTACGGAGCTTGGGAGGAGATGGCTGGGTATGGACAAGGAAGACAGAACAGACCGACAGAATCAAAGAGAGGTAGACAGACAAAAGGCACTGGAACCCTTCAACCGAAGCTCAGATATGGGAGGTCCTCAGCTGCACAGCCTCAGCTGGGAACATCAGCCTTAGAGCCACCTGGCCTGTCAGGGAGAGGACACAAGTCTCTTTTTCTCAGGGGGACTCCTTGTGAACACCCCAGAGGATCCAGGCCTCAGCAAGATTGCTACTGAGGAGGAAATCGAGTTCTATGTGCAGCAGTTCAAGAAGTCTGGCTTCAGGTAGAGAGAAAGGTGTCCTAGACACTGCAGATGGGGGGCCCAGCTCCTCCCACTGCAGCCCCCATGAGCACCATGATGACCAGTTTCTGCCTGAATACCCCCAGTGTCAGAAGTATCACCACCTATGGTATGCAGCCTAGTTTAGTTTGGGGTAGCCCAGCTTGTTCTTTCTTATGTTTGTGGGATGCCCCTCCAAGACAGAACTTTTACATTGATTTTTCAGTCACAACTTCTCCATGAATCAGGGACAGCTCTGGGTTCTGTCTTCAGAGAAGAAAAAAAAAAAAAGAAGAAGAAAAATCAAATACACATGCGGTTTGGTGCTTTTGCACAGCTGCCCGGTGTCCTTCTCTCTGAGTTCCCTGGGGCAGGAAAGTGGCCTCTGGGAGGGAAGGGGCTGTCCTACGCTCCCACCCTCTGACACGTCCCTTGGAAATGAGGATACCTAGGGCCAGCTTCTCTGTGACCCAAAACCCCCTCAGAGGCTGCCAGCCTGGTTTTTGGCAGGCATGGATGGGAAGTATGTGTTCTGGGTCTCCCCTCATGCCCTGCAGAGCTGCATCTTCCATGGCGTACGTGGCTGTGGGCAGCGTGGGTTCCTCTGGAGCAGCAGTGCTCAGTCCTTGAAGCCTGCCTGTGATGCTTTCTGATCCTCTCTCCAGGGGTCCCCTGAACTGGTATCGAAACATGGAAAGAAACTGGAAGTGGTACTGTAAGGGTGTGGGGCGGCAGGTGAGTGCTGGGCTGCCGTGCTGCACACACAGGCACAGGCACACACCATATGAACTAGACATACACATACACACAAACTAGATATGTACATACATACATGGGCATATGCACACATACTTGTGCACACAGATGCAAACAAGACATGCACACAGGCTGACACATACACAGGCACAGACATATACACACATGGGCACACATCTACACTCACATACACAAGCACACACAAACTAGACATTCACACATATACACTAGACACACACACACACACACACACACACAGGCCACTGCATTGCTAAATCCAACATTCTGAAAAGCTCTGGGATGACAAGGACCCTCCCTGTGGAGCTTGGTGGAAGCAAAGTCTGCACCAGTGACAGGACAAGGGTCTTCTCAGTGGGGCTGAAATTGTGGACACAGCAGGTTGTCTGGGCAGAGAGGGCACCCAAGGTAACCAACTAGCACACCTAGTCTCACTAGCTCATTTCAGATACTCATGGTATGCATTGCCTGGTCCCCCAGATCCTGATTCCGGCCCTGATGGTCACGGCTGAGAAAGACCTTGTGCTTCATCCTCAAATGTCCAAGAACATGGAAAAATGGGTAAGAGAGTGGCTCTGCACAGTGGACATCAGAGTGTCCCAGAGACAGAGCGAGAGCGAGAGTGAGAGCGAGAGAGAGAGAGAGAACAGGTAGCCAAAGGGGAGGCAGAGGAGGAAGATACCCCTGGGGAGGAGGAGGGTAGGGGATCAGCTGAAACTCTGCCCCAATCCAGCTTCATCACTGACATCGCCCTTTCCTAACTGATGCGAACTTTCCCTGCACTGACATGGTCTCTCCATCGGTGTTCATTCTGTTCAAAATGATTCAGGGTCCTCCAGGGCTGGGCTCTATCCTCCAGTACTAGTTGCAATAACCCCAAGCCAGCCGCATTTTTATTCTTCTGCTAACCATTCCAGTGTGGTTTTCTTTTAGATCCCTCACCTGAAAAGGGGACACATCGAGGACTGTGGGCACTGGACACAGATGGAGAAGTAAGGAGACTGGGGGTTCCCCTGGGGAAGGAGAGCAGGATTCTCTGGTCACCTGCCCTATGAGCTCCACAGGCTCAGTTCCACCCGGCTCTGGTCTGCCTAGCTGTTCATGTCGCACACCTCTACCTTAGAGTGACAGTGGGCTCAGATCCAGTGACCCTTCCTTTGTTTCCCTTCCAGACCTGCTGAACTGAACCAGATTCTCATCAAGTGGCTGAAGGCTGAAGTCAACAACCCATCAGTGATTGCCAAGATTTAACCTGTGATGTGTCCCTAGTAGAGCTTGTTCGTCATCAGCTTAGGACGCAGCTTAGCATCTGGACATGGCCTTGCCCACATCTCTTCTAACCAACAGTGTTGTTCTTTTGGCAAACAGTGATTTTTCTTTTAGTGAAATCGACCAGATATGATGTCATTTTAGATCAGAAGAAATCACTTGGGAGTAATTTTCTGAGTATAACTGGCTCATCTAAGAATTCATGTCCTGTCGGGAAGGTGTAAGGTAGCCCAGTAGGAAATTCTCTGTAAGGACTGACCAGCTCATCATTTTGCACCCAAATCCAAGGCTTACTTTGAAACAGGTGATCAGAGATTAGGGTCCTTTATTCAATAAAGCTAAGACCATGACTCTGCGGTCCTTTGTGTTCTTGGGATGCTAAGGCAACAGCTCTGAGGGGTGCTACATTTGAACATGAGCCTTGCTGTGGTCTCCGGTGTGCTGAGTGTCCTAAAGCAGCTCCGTCAGCCAGCTGAGCCTTCTGGGAAGGAGCTGGAGGTGGTCTGCAGCCACCATTCACAGGTAACCACAACCCTTCCTGTTTTTGTTTTGTCCTGTTTTGTTTGTTGTTGTTGTTGTTGTTGTTTTAGTAGGGTGTGCTGGGGTACTAATGCATACCATGAATATTTGAAATGTGCTAGTGAGTCTGAGGAAGAAAATTTTAGCCATCACCCTACGAGGCTTGAGCTGATCTAGCTGTCTTCCCACACGGCCTCTTTTCTCTTGTCACATTCAGTGAGGCTTCAGGTGTCACTGATCTTGTACTCTGCCCTGTTTTGGGTACCAGAGTCCCATAACTTCATGACCTGTCAGATCCTCAAGGATGCCCTCAAGATAAAAACCACATCCCGAGGGGCTGGAGAGATGGCTCAGCAGTTAAGAGCACTGACTGCTCTTGCAGAGGACCTGAGTTCGATTCCAAGCACCCACATGGTGGTTGCGGACCATCCTTAACTCCAGTTCCAGGGGAATCAAAACCCTCTTCTGGCCTCTGCAGCATTGCACGACACAGATGCACTCACTTACATGCAAGCAATACACTCATACACATAAAATAAAAATAATAAATAAAATTGTAGGAAACCAGGATGCTAGGCCCTAGGGTGAGGTGAGCCTAAAACTTGTAGGTCCAGGCTGCATCTCTGCTGAAGGGAGGGGCACTGAAAACAGTGACTCTGATAATCCCTGTCTTGCAGAACACTGTTAGGCTGGCAGGAGAATGCAGCCTGGTCATAAGTGCAGGCTTCTTGCTCTGTGGGAAAGTGTGTTGGTCAACAACCCTTAGCTCATCTCCTTGTCCTGAACAAATAACTCAGCTGTCCGTGGCTAAGAGATTAGGCCAGGTTAAAGGTTTACTCTTGAGCTAAAAGCTAAAAGTTTACTGTGCTTTTAACTCTAAGAAGAAAACACTGTGGCCAATAAATTACTGGATGGGCATTGATAACCTTGAGTAAATGTTTAAGAATCCTTCTGGCACCAACTAACAAACTATATGTCCTGCTTCTTTGTACCCTAAATCTTTGTAGCTGTATCCCACATGACTGCTAGTTCCTTGGGATGTATAAAAACCATCTGAATTTTAAAATAAATTGTCCTGTTGGGAAGACACAGATCCCAGAGTTTATGATTCTGTCACCCATCAGACCCTCTGCCCCGAAGCCAGTAGGTCCCCCGCTAAGCAAAGCAAACCTGAGTTTGACAATATATGAAAAAAAAAAAAAAAAAAAACACATCCCGCGGCTCACCTGGTTCCTGCTCACCCTGCCTGGCCCTCTCACTCCGTGATTCCTATTTATAGCTGTCCCCCAGTATCATGGCCTTTGAATTCTGCACACACACCAGGGCTTTCCTGACCCTCCACCCAGAATATGCATGCTCTTGTCAGGAGTCCCCCAGCTGCTTCCTCCCCAACCAAGTCCCATTACGGGTGGGGTACCCTCTCTCCTTGCTCCCCCAACACAGTACATTCACAGATGTGCACACACACACTCTTGCTACAGATGGGTCAACTCATTTAGATAACTTGACTAGTTGGTGTTGTATGGCAGTTTCCTCCCAGATAAAACTTCCCATCCGGTAAGAAAACTGCTCAAGACTCAGGATGCTCTAAACGTTCCATCATGTAGGGAAGCTCATTAAGAGGAAGTCAAAAACTATATAGCTTTAGGAAGTCCATGAAACTGAGCAGACTCACTAGGTCCCTCCCTTCACAAGTATATATATATATATATATGTGTGTGTGTGTGTGTATTATAGGCATATGCATATATACATTCATTTATATCATCTATCTATCTATCTATCTATCTATCTATCTCTCTATCTATCTATCTATCAATCATCTATCTATGCTATCAGTAGGGGCTGATGAAAGATACTTTCAGACAAGCCCTGGAAAAGGCTCAGATGAGCTGAACTGCCTAGAAGAGATGGTCTCCAACCTGTTGAGCTGCAGTGTGCAGTGAGCTCCAAGTTTCCAGCTTCCATGAGCTCACCCATGCAGTGGTGGATTTTTGGTGCTGCAGCTGTCTTCGAGTCATTTCTCACCCTGTAAGCAACCCCCAATAGAACTCATTAGTTCACTTATGGTAGGCCTGCCCTCCCCGCATCAATGTAAAAGGAATGCTGTGTGGTCTGTGCCGAGTACACATGCACGGTTCTGCCTGTCATGACCTTGTAGCACGGAACACCCAGTCAGGATATGTGTGTTACCATACATGGGAGACAAAGAAGCTGAACTGTAAAGGGAACTAACAGAGAGTATAAAAAGACTGGGGATTTCTTTGTTCAAGGCTCTGCTTTTGAGAACCATCTCGCGGAGCCAGATGCTGTCACAATACGCTGCTTCCAGGAGGAAAGACATTGGTGTCTCCCTGCACACATAACCTGCAGTACACTAAGTCAGACTCTGGTAGTATGCTTACTTTGGTCTTTTGTTGTTTCCCTATCTGGGGATATTTGTAGACATCTTTCCAGGAATAGTGTCACACAATAGTTGGGAAGTGTGCTGGATAGCTCTAGTTGTCAACGTGACACACTTGGGTAGAGGGAGCCTCAACTGGGGAATTGCCTCCATTGGACTGGCCTGTGGCCATGTCTGTGGGGCATCTTCTTGGTTATGGAGTGATACGGGAGGGCCCAGCCCATTGTGGGTGGTGCCACCCCTGGGGAGGTGGGCCTGTATTGTATAAGAAAGCAGGTTGAACGTGGGCCAGAGGAACAAGCCAGTAAGCAGCGCTCCTCCATGGCCTGTGCTTCAGCTCCTGCCTCCAGGTTCCTGCCCTGAGTTCCTACCTTGGGCTACCCAATGATCTGTGACCTGGGAGATGTGAGCGAAATGAACCCTTTTCTCCCCAAGTTGGTATTGGTCAGAGTGTTTTGTCACAGCAATGGAGAGACAGACTAGAACAGGAACCTCCAGCTCTGGTGTGAGGAATCCAGAGGCTGAATTCTTTGTACCCAAAAATCTCCTGAGTCTGGAGCCAGATCAGCTGGTTTAGACACCCGATCTGCTCCTTGCTCACAATGACCTTGAGAAAGGGCCCCTGTGCCTCAGTTTCCTCACCTATAAAGAAGACATTAATAGTAGCTAAGTGGGTTGGTGATGCCTAATATGTGATATATACAGAGTTCTAGGCTAGTGTCTGACATGGAGGAAGAGCTGTGGAAGGGCAAGCTATGAGAATTTCAGTTTATACTAAGAATTACGAAGGCTTTAGATTTCCAGCTGCATCGCCTCCATCCCTTTGCATCTGAAAATTAAGAGGCTCATTTGCAAGACAAATATGTGACCTACTTAAATGGCTATATAAGCCAGAAAACTTCATTTACTAGCTGGATATGTCCAAGCTCAATTGCCAGAAAAAAGGATCTGGGAACATCTTCCAATATGAGAATCAACAGGCAAATCCATTAGCTCAATTCAAACTGTCAGTAATTCCCATAAACCAATAAAAAAGCATCAATTATAGAATCCAACACATAACATTGCAAAAAACCACAGCCATCCATCCAAGGTTGAAGGTCACATATGATGCTGGATGGGCAAAGGTCTTTAGATTTTGAAAGAAAATACCAAAATGTCCAGAGCTGTGTTTCCTGGCAACTTTGGGAAACTTCAGAACTGCTATAATTTTGGCATCCAGGGGGATGAATGGGGATAAAGATGTTCAGGTGCCATTTTAAGTACATTTTCTTAGAGCCTGTCCAAAATTATTTCATTATAAAAGGATAGTTTTGTTTCATGTCTACAAAGGGTAAGTGGTAAGTGAAATCATGTCTACTTAGAGAAATAAGCTTCTTAAAAGAGGCAGGACAGTGACATTCTTTTTAAAAAAATTTTAAATTGTTATTTTTGTTTTATGTATATGAGTGTATTGCCTGCATGTGTGTAAGTGCACCCATGTCATGCAATGCCCATGGAAGTCAGAAGAGGGTGTAGGATCTCCTGGAACTGGAGTTACGGACGGTTGTTAGCTGCCATGTGGGTGCTGAGATTCGAACTGCTGAGCCATCGCTCCAGCAGGTACTACATTCTTACCTCCATATACCAGTGGGGGGTGTGATGCTGCCCCCAGGAAGTTGAGATGACTCACTCTATACGAGATTTCCAAGGGAAATACCCTCCAAAAAGCAAGTCTGTTAGACTAAGAGGAAAGGCTGTTTCTGAAGGTGTGATGAATTCATGGTTTTAGGCCATGAGAATTGATGCTAGGTTCATTTCCATACCAATATTACCATCAGCACAAATAAATACAAAAAAAAAGGTTAAAGGGGCTGGAGAGATGGCTCAGCATTAAGAGCACTGATTGCTGTAGCAGAGGACCAGAGTTTGGCTCCCAGCACCCATGTTGGGTGGCTCACATCCATCTGTAACTCCATCTCCAGGGGATCTGACACCCTCTTCTAACTTCCACAGGCACCTACACTCACATGCACATACCCCGACACAGGTACCTACACATAATTAAAAATAAAAAAGAATAGCTATACATATGATTTTGTGATTTTGAAAGTTTGAAAGTAGTCAAAGAGTATAATTTACAACCATGTTCAAAGATAAAAGTTTAAAAAATTAAGTAAAGTTTTAACATTAAGCTAAAATGAGCTGGCTAACTTATTTCTCTTGAATAACTTCCTTTTGTGAATGAAATTGTAAGGTGATTTAAGATGTGCTGGTCAAGTTTATGAATGAGAGGGAGCACCGATAAAGTTAACCTCAGAGATCATGTGTGTTTTGGCCTTAAACATAGTCTGAGGTAGTCCCAGGAAAGGGATTGTCATTGCAGGTAGTGTTCATAGAGGTTTTGATAGTGGTCTGTTGTATTGAAATTCTTGACCCTTAGCCTGC